GTAGATATTTTTAGATAGTTTTACAAGCATAATATTCATAACAAAATTATCATAGCAAAGTTAGCAAAACTATTATAGCAAAACTAGCAATGCTATTATAACAAAATTGACATTATGATACTAGCAAAAGTAGCATTTAGATCATAACAAAAGTATTATTTGTAAAATCTCTAAAATGTATAAAAGTAATGTATCTTAGTTAAAAAAAAATGAATAAAAATGAATAATAAATTAAGTTAATAAATAAAATGACTTAATAAAATAATAAATAAATTAATGAATTAAATAATAATAAGGCAAAATAATAATTTAAACATAATAATATTATAAATTAATGACTTTTATTAATAATGTCTTATTTATTATAATACATTCCTTATATTATGATTCCAGGTCTCATTCTAGCTGATCATGTCATGAACACACCCTTGTTACCTACCTTTAATCTCATTATAATCATAGTTTAATGTCTATTACATTATATCTTTGATTATATTAGTCTCTTCTATCTGTAATTCATAATATTTTTATTATATATTATCCTATCAAATATTATATATAAAATTATTAATCTACCATGAAATAATCTTTTCAAGAGGCACCAAAAATGATAACAATATAACCTTTTTTTATATAACTGATGAAGATAACTTGATCTAGTATAAAATATTAGAAAGTAATATGAATATTATAAAGTAAAACTCAATATAATCTTCTTTTATACAACTAATAAAAATGATATAAAATACTAAAAAATAAATAAAAGTGAAATCTAGTACAAAATATCTAAGAAATTAATAATAAAAAGCATGATAAATATTAAAAAAATATAGTAAATATGATGTTAAATTTATTAATAATAGTTCTATTAGTTATTATACTATCACTTGATTAGTACTTTATTAACTTATTTGATTATTGATAATGTTTTATTTATCAGAATATATTATAATATTTATCAAGACTTTTTGAGTTAGAAGTAAAATTATAATTTGTTTATCTATAATTATTATAAAATATTTTAAGATGATAAAACTAGTAATTTTTGATAATAAGAAATATATTAAGAGATAATAATTTCAATAATAAGGAATAAAATAATAATATCAAGTGATAATAATTTTGATAACAAGAAATAAAATAGTGATAATTTTAAGTCCAAGTAAAAGAAAATTTTATAATTTAATAAGTTAAATACATAATTCTAACATATTAATCACAAAATAAAACTAATTTAATAACTTATTTAAATAATTTTCAACATCAACTTAATATAATTATTATGAAAGTAACAGATATGATGGGAAAAATCACTTTGTATTACTAATCTATATGATTGATGCTAAATCAGATGCTATAATGATTTTAAATAAATAAAACACATGATATAATATCACGTGATATGCACAAAAAATCGTCACAAATTTCGATTTCATTTTAATCTGTCACTTCAAAGTCATTATTGTCTAAAAAAATTACCAAATAGAATTTTTATTATCATTATTATCATTTTAAAAAATTAACCATGTGAAATTGATATCAGCGGGATCTTATTATTATGAAGGAATCTGAATTAGGTTGATATGATATCAATGGGGAATTCATATAAAAATTGATATTTATGAGAATTTATATAATAAAAATTTCGTTCTATGGTCAATGTCGCCAATAAAGAGGTATTGATATTAACGGGGTTGATAATAACGGGGTGCCACTGTATTGAGTTCATACATAATTAAAATTACACGTACGGCCTATTTGGAGCTCAATATCTCAAGGCCCAGTGGCGGGAATTGAATATAAGTGATACTGTTCGATTCCCTAGGTTCTGGTGAATCAAATGATGTAATTCCCGCTCAAGATATTGATCTTCAAATAGGCCGTACGTGGAATTTTAGATTCTTTGGGACTCAATATCTCAAGACCCAGTGGCAGGAGTCGAGTGTAAAGTCCACCATTTGAATCATCAGAATCTAGGGAATCGAATGATAACTCTTATACTCGATTCCCGTCAAAATATTGAGCTTTAAATAGACTATATGTGGAATTTGAATTATGTATGAATTTCTTGTATGAAGAAATAGTAGTCATAATAATGTTAAAAAGAATTCTGAATCGACATTTTTCGCATAATTGCTGAACGCGCACGTTGTGCACATTTAATTTAACCATGTGTACGATTGCAAGTGGGAAAAATCATATGGCACCGACATATATCCCCTCATATTAAAATCTCAGGTCTTAATTATAATATAATTATATATAAAATATCGGGGGGGGGAAACGGGGTATTTTTTGATAAACCATAATGAGGTGATATATGTCAGTCCCCTAAGTTTTCGCGCAATTTTATTAAAAGATGCCTTCAATGAACCTTCCTTCAATTTCTGAATTGAATGAATTTGTTTATGAAGATTTCAATTCCACAATTAGCATATTATTTGAATCTGCGCCACCACTTGGGAAATATCTTGTAAGTTATCCTAATACAATATACAATCAAATTCTGCAATTTTATTTATTGATATTTTTTTCAAAGTACGAGGCACGCCCATTTTCATCATACAGCTCTTTGATAAACTTTGCCGAATCGATTGCTCTAAATGAAAATCATCTAACCTTTCAAGAAAAATTAGAGGTAATAAATGCACATCCGCGTTTAGGTGAAAACAAGAAGAAATTATCTGCCCTTTCTTATAAAGAGCAAGGATACGAAAATACGACCGCTACAAACGAGAATGACAATTATGGAAAAAGCGACGAAAATAAAAATAATGACGACGACTCGATTAACGAGCAGCTTCAGCAATTGAACAGAAAATACGAAGAAAAGTATGGATTTCGCTTCGTAGTATTTGTTAATAGACGGTCTCGTAAGGAAATTATCCCTATTCTTGAGGGGCGCTTGAAGGATGGAAGCAAAGAACAGGAACTTGATACAGGCATCAAAGAGATGTTTAAGATTGCGCGTGACAGATTGAGTAATTTAGAAAAATAAAATAATACAATTGTATGGTAGCTTGAATTTTTTCAAAAATATACTTTAAATATTTTATATATACATGAAATGAATGAGATTTGTGACGTGAGAATGAAAATTGTTCCAAATATGAATAAATAGAAGGCTTCACTGAGAGCGTTAATAATCATTAGACAATAGTTGTTTCTGGTTCGGAATTCAGAGCTCCAAAATCATCATGTTGAGATTTAACAGAATCCAAGAAGGAAAAACCTGTTGTTGAGAACCAAGAGTTTGACTGAGTTTGTGTGTCTAATTCGCTCGCTGAAACCAATTCTCCGAAATCATCATCATCATCATCATCATTTAAAGAAGATACAGATGGAGTCGAACCTGCATTAATTTGAGATGTGTATAGTCTTTCTGAATTATTGCTTTTTGAGGTTTTCTGATTTATAGGAGGACTGCTGTTCGATGCTGACTTAGACCGCAATTGAGTGGAATTTGAAAAAGTGGCTACTTTTGATTCCAACCCAGCTGTTAATTCTTGAAAGTCTTTGAATGTAGAATTTTTCGTAGAAAATAGTGAATGAGCGGGGGTTAACGAAGAAACAGAGGATTGATGTGAATGTGAAGATATCGTGGAGAATGAATTTTTAATGGTGTTATTAGCAAAATTCGACTTCGTTGATCGAGATTCATCAGCAGAAATCATTTCCCCAAACTCTAACGAATCTAAACCAGAATTTTTTTCTTGTGTATTTTGGACGATTTCAGTAGGACTTGATATCGTGATAGGTTTACTTTGAGACTTGGAAGAAATAGCCGGTTTCATTATCTCAAAAGATATTGAAGGGGATTGGGGAGAAAAACTTGATTCGGCAGAATCAAAAATATCGTTACTTGTTGTGTCAGCAGAAACCAAATCTCCGAATTCATCTGAAGAGAACATCGTGTTCAATGTCACTTCGTTTTTTTGTGGTTGATCTCTTTTTGTATTTATTACTAAACTTTTATGTCGTGCTGTATCGGTTGGTTTTGATTGTGTATCCAATGAACTATCGGAAACTTTAGCTGTAACTGGTTGAATAGGAAGTAAAAATTTGGATTTGGCCCATTTCGAGGCTTTTTTCGAGCTTTCCGGTGAAGATACAATTTCTGAAACTAGTGCAACCGTGAGTTCTTGCAAATCTTGCAAAGCTTTGGATTTTGTCGTATCCTGTGTTATCAAATCAGCTAATTCAGAAGTTTGAGATCCTTTACCAGCATTATTTGAGGAGTGATACAGATGTTTCAAATAATGTGCATCAAATAATTGATTACGATCAGGCTTTGAATTATTAAAGAATTTTAGTCCTGCCAATTCATGCAAAGGTTGGGAATTGCAAGGGGACGTTGGAGATATCGGAGAAGTTGGCGGTGAAGTGGAAGTAGAAGAAAGAGCAAGTTCCGGGATCGAAAGTAATGAATCACGCCTGCTTTCGATACTTGATGTAAGTGATTCTCGGCTATTTTCATTTAACGATTTGCGAGGTTCAGATGTATTCATTGCTGTCACATTCTCATTCATGTTCTATAAATGAATTGAATAAAGGTTTAAGTTTATCAAAAAAAAGAATGTTAATGAACAAAGATAAGGTACCTTTGAATAGATCGGAATTATTGGCACTGTAGCAGGTGAGGGAACATTTGATGTGGTCTCATCTGATGTGGTCTCAATTGGTGTTCTATCCTCCTTCTGTTAGGTCAAATCAAGATTAGTTTACTGGGTCTTATGATGATAAAAACCTCAGTGTATTTATTACATACATTTTTTTTGAATCCGAAAATATTTTCAAAGTATGCTCTTTGAGTTTGTGAACCACGCCAAGATACCCTGACTATCCCGTCATCATTAATCATTGGTTCAACGAGAGATGATAATGTAATTTCAGAGTTTAAATATCTTTGATGAAAAAAGAATCGTATTTTAAATATTTAACCGTGGTTGTTAAAATGTGATGATGTACATGGAAAAATATATATATATATTTACTCATTTGCATTATTAACAAGCTCTCTCAAAACAATAGATTTAGATAAACTCTGCGAATCTGATGTATTCGACGATGGATATATTTGACCTAAGAACTCAATCCAGTGGATAACTTCTTGGGGAAGTTTCTAATTATATATTAAAATATTTAATTCTCATATCACAAAATTTGCAATCAACTTATCCCCAAATAAAATTGTCATAAACGTACACTATGATCAATTGAAGACACGTCTATATGTGTGTCTTGTAAGTCATCAGTATCGTTATTCTCTTGCCCAAACTCAAAATCGCCAAACTCTTCGTCATTATCAATTTCATCCTCGTTATTATCACTATCATTTGGTGTATTTACATTTTTACTTGAAGATTGTGAAATGAAATCCCCAAACTCATTATTATCAACATTATTATCATTTTCTGGATCGACGTTGTCTGTCCCAATCATGGGAGGGGAAGTAGGTGGTGTTAATAAAGAGGGCTTCTTCTCCGAATTTTTACCTTCCGGTTTTTGAATGAAGCTTTGTTCATTCAAAACCTTTTCACCCTCATCAAGACTGTTTCTAACTGCGAGAAGAGAATTTGGAGAAACAATTGAAGTAGGTGATGCCACTACTTCTACCTCTGACCACACATTATCTGCAATGTCCCTCAATACACCAGTAATATTTATGGCTGTTCTCTCTGGTTTCTCCTCTTCTTTTTCCGGTTCTTTTGGATCAAATTCTTGCCAAACATTGGTAAATTCCACTTCATTTATAGTATTATCCCAAGTAGAGAATTCAGACCATTCATTGTCTTCGTAGTTTTTTTGGTTTGTATTGATTTCATTATGCACAGAAAATTTGCTCATAGCTTCACTCATGAGGAAAATAAACGCAAACAACGGCGATTCCACTAAACCCAATTTTCTTAAATAAAAAACCTGTATGATGTGGCTTCGCGAATAAAATTGGACAATGAAATTTCTAAATCTATCAAGTGATCATATATTGTATGTATTATCTGCGCTTACTAATAGATTAGATGATTACACAGCCATCCCTGGATCAGAATCATCCCCGTTCTTTTATTTTATTTTTTAAATATATAAAGAGTGTGGACCTGCTGCACATCAATAACAAGAACGACGGAATATGACAGAAGAAACAACACCCGTTGTTGAGCCAAATGCCGTGGAAGAACCCCTTGACCTGGTTCGATTATCCCTTGATGAAAGAATTTATGTAAAGTTAAGAGGTGACAGGGAATTACGCGGAAAATTACACGTGTGTCGTTTTGATTTTTTATAAAGTCTATGTTGGGTAGCCAAGCCTTCCTTTTTTAATCTTTTGATAATCTTTGATCGATGAAAAGGCATATGATGGACATCTAAACATGATTTTGGGTGATGTTGAAGAAACGATCACTGTGGTTGAAATTAATGAGGAAACGGAAGAGGAAGTTATTCGTGTAGGTTATCGTTCTATTATCAGAAATCCATAAGATTACGATCATTATGTATGATTTTGATTCTCAATACATACAGACTATCAAAAATACTGCTGAAATGCTGTTTGTACGTGGAGATGGTGTAATACTGGTAAAGCAAACTTCTTGACCCTGCGATTGATAATTTCTGCATTTTATTTACAATAACAACTTTTTTTCATCTTTAAAGGTTTCTCCACCTTCAAGAACTGGAGTCTAACCTGAAATACACGTGTTTTTTGCTGTACTATGTAAATCATTCCATCATGGTGGAATTCATTGGTTATTTATTGAAAAGTGACTGTGACACGAATTTTTTATACTATTTACAATAATAAAAAATTTACAATTGAAACATTTAGAATTATCACATATATGTTGGGATCGAGTGTTCCACCAACTTTTATTAGAAGCGATTCTGACATTACTGGTACGTAATACATTAAATTTTTGATTTCGAAGCCGTTCCCAAATAATTCTTGGAAAATTAATAGTCAACAGCTTGGTGGCACCGTAGATGCGTTCATGAAAGGTGTGTTTACATGCTAACATATAACGATTACGGGAACAGACAGTGACAATCGAGCGAAGTTAGTTCTGAGTTTCACGCGAGCAAGTTACAAAAACTATAAAAAGAATATCGAGAAGAACATGAAATTAATCTTTTAGTCAATAGAATTTTTGCTTATTAACCAATAAATATGTTTCTGTATCACCATGATTAGTATAGAAAAGAATCCTTGCACGAAACAATTCCTTGTTTATTTTCTTCCGTAAAAGCAACAAAAATAAATAACCATACAAATCGATAGTATATTTAAATATGATTATAGGTGCAAATAAGGTTCTTCTGGATAGTATATTTGAATATCATTATATGAATAAAATAAAAATAGGAATTAATTATAATTGCCAAGATTAGTGAAATCAAAAAATAGTGATGATTATGAAATGAAGATATCGAGTAAACGATTAGATGCTATAAGGTATGATTAATTGAATAAAAAAGTGTGTACAAGTAAAAAGAAAAAAGCAAACAAAAAAAATTAAGCACAACAGGATGGCACTCATTGATTCATTCCTGTTTATTCTTTGACCGATTCCTCAATAAATAAATAAACTACCAATGTCCACAAAAAATAGTGTAATAATTAATATTATAATGTCCCTTTCTTGAAAGATTAAATTTACTCGTTTTTTCTCATAGCTATTGTAGAATAAAACAATACAAACTTCTATACCACACTAATATACCTTTTTTAAAGATGATTTCGCTTAGGACGCGGTTCGTACATTAACCGTGTGTCAAAAATTGATGGAAGTTTACACCCCTGAGAATCGATAGCTACAAAATGCAAATAACTTTAATAAATATATAAACTAAGTTAGAAAATATTCACTTATATATCAAAATACCAAAGAAATCGAGTCCTCTATCATCGGGTCTCATTGCTCGTACTGTTTCTGATATTGCAAATGAAGTGTCCTAAGAGAAACCAAATAATTGAATATCAGTTAATAAGTAAATTAAAAATTGCTAAACATTAAATGCTGAAAACTTGCATCTAGAAATTGAGTAGCCTCTTTAGAAAGCTTAAGTTTTGATCGGTTTAATTTTGCAGTTATAATTTCATCAAAAAACAATATTTCTGGGTCATCTGGTGGGCGCGCCAGGCGCTCGTGTATAAAATGAGAAAATGCCTGTGAATCTAGTAGGCAAGAAAGGAATGGCTGTTATCAAATTGAGAATATATTAATAAGAATTTTATAGTTAAATCTCAACGTTTCCAACAATGAAATTTGTACATAGTATTTTTCAGCTTACCCTTGCTTCCCGGTCAAAATTCCTCAAGTATGCTTCTTTTTGAAAAAATTCGCCTTCAGCAAGGCCTCTGCTTGTCTCACCGACAATACTTGTGTTATTCCCGTTATTGCGAATATTTCCATTTGCCATGTATGACCGATAATTTCGTAACAATGAAGCGAAAACACGTAAAAATGAATCTTGAACTTTGGCTTCATTGAAACAGGCTGGAACGCACGGATGCGCTATATCGGACAGACAATCATCATGGGCAACCATAGAACACCCTTATTTTATTTTATATAAATTAATAAGTCTTGTATAATTATTACAGAAATTAAAATAACTACTTCAGCAAGCCTCCATTACCTTCGCATTTGAACACAATATTTAGACCCAAACTTTTTTGGCATATCCCGCATGCAAGACCTTCCAACATCCATGTGCTCATCCCCGGTTGACCATTGGAATTACCCTCCGCTGGTATTTCAACCATTAGATGTCCTTCTTTTGATGTAAATTCTTTTCCGGTAGGAATACGTTCTGCAGGATCAGCCATCACACTCCAGCCATCAGTTGAAAAGAGTGACTCATTATCATATTGTGACGTGTTAGATGTCTGCGGTAAGCTTATTGTATCACTAGATAATTTGTGTGCATGTCCTGAACCATTCCGATTCATGAGTAATACACTGCTTCGATTTATTGCTTTACTTCGTAAGGTCTATGAAGAAATTGTTAAATAAATTTAATCATTTAATAAACCTGACAAATTGATCTTCATTTCGCTTACCAAAATTGAGTTTCGGGCACCAGTAAATGTGCTCGAACGATTCTTATTCTTTTTTAAAGATTCAGAAATACTCACAATTTTTCCTCCCTAATTATAATATCGATAGAAATTTAATAAGTACTAAATTCATTGATTTTCATGTAATAAATGAAGATTGATTATTTTACCTTTTCACCTTTAAGATTGCTACCTTCACGACTTTCATATACACTAGCAGCCCCAGAAAAAGTTGACATTCTTCGTTGCATAGAAATCCCAACCAATGAATTATTCCGTGGAAATAGATCTGATGCGGAAGAAACTGGTGATCCGGGATCACCCATATCGTAAAGCCCTGTCATTGAAGGAGCAAGTGGGATAGCTCGAGCCGGCGTACCTATAACAGATGTTATTCGACTATTCTTTTCGAACATTTTTGATTTTGAACAGAGGGGCGTGAATCTTCCATTAGGATAAGCCTGTTGCACGTACAAAGGCACACCGTATGAAGTGTTGTAGTGGGAGTGTAAGGGTGCATATGCTTCTAATGCTTGAAGCAATTTCTTTCTTTGGCGCGGTGGTATTTGTGGAGGAAGTTGTGCCATCATCACAGTATCTTTGTCCAAGTCGACTATACACGCCTTTAATATAAAATATGTTAACTAATTTATAAAAAGCTTGTTGAATAAATATTTACGTACATCTTCGGGAAGCAGATCCATTCCTTTATATTGCCGTTGGATTCCCATTATATAGGGAACAGGTGCCTTTATATAACAAAAAGACTATCAATAAAGACAGACTTTGTTTAGACGAAGTAAATATGGTTCAAATGCATACTTGAAGACAAGCCATAAGACGCGCAGGTAAGATTGGAATGAAAACTCCTTGCCAACGTAAAGGATACATAAGATAAGTTATCGAATGCGCTACCAAAAATAACATATCGGGATACGATGAAATTAATAAAATTTTTCCCTCGGCCAAAGCAACCTGTATTATTAATTAGAAAATAAATAGTATTTAATACTGCGCGTAAAGTGAATTCACATATAAATCAAGTAAATACCTCCAGTAATGTCAGTATGCTTTTGAAGGAAAGACTCCGGAATAATGGATATAAAGAAAACTAAAAATAAATAAAGATAATATAATATAATTAAAAAATAGAAAAATTGTGAACAGCAGAAATTAGACTGAATCATATAAGCTACTTAAAATTTTAAGAAACTTAAGACATAATAAACTATTGTAAATTTGATTTCCATTTTATTGATGTCCAAACACAAACAAATATATTTAATTCCCTCTATGTCGATAATGGAATTGATTATCTAAGAGTAAACACTAGAATAATCTGCACTTACATCGTTCATTATAGGAACTTGGTTTAAAGCAGGTCGTCCACAAAAAAACGTCATATCGTTAACTGTAATTGCAACTTGCAATTTACCGGGTGGAGGAACGGGAATTTCATGGACCAAATTTACAATATATCTGAATTATGAAAATGATATATTAATGGATGCTATGCAAATTAAGAGCAAATAAGATTATTATAATATATTAGATTACCTTTCCAAAGGTAAATCCAATTGTTTTGTTTCTTTTAAGCCATTTATCATAGGCATTGCTACTGCACATAGCCAATCCTTAAATACATCATGCCATGGAAGGTAACTAATAACTCCAATACATTTTGGCATCCACAATTTAGTTAAATCGATGACTCCTGATTTCATCGGCTGTAAAAGTTCCATGCATAAGGCTACTTTTTCTTCTGCTTCTGCCTTTTCCCGTTCAATTTCTGCTCTTTCAGCTGTAGTCAAAACAGGCGATTCTGAATTCAATTTTGCGCGAGCTGAATTTGCTCGTTCTTTTTCGAGACGCATCTTTTCAGCTAAATGGTTTGCGTATTCTATTCGATTAGAATCCTTTAAATATATTGGAATAATTTAGGATATAGTCTGAAAATTTTTGAATAAATCAAATAAAAGCTAACCATGTTTTTGGCACACCATTCCTTGTGCAGTATGTTAATTTCATTAACCAGATGTTCGGGCAATTTCTCGTATGTCGTAAGACACACACCATAACGTTTTGTGCCATCTTCTTGCGTTATCACCTAAATAAAATACTTGTCAAGGATATTTTTAGAAGCAAAACATTATTTAAAAATTTTCATCTCAAAGGATACGAATCCGTGATATGTAGCTGGAGGGACGTATTCACTTTCACGAATAATTATATCATTAGGAAAGCAAAACTAAAATTAAGTAATTATGTTAGAATATTTATGCGAATCGATTGCAAGATGGGTAAAATAAAATACGAATGCTTCAAACCATGGGTATATATGCCGGAAAATGCTCCTCTTTTGAATAATCTTCTTTAGGATATCGACAAAGCAATCGAGGAGAATACTTTCGCTTAAGTGGATGTTCAGTTGCTTCTGGAAGGTTTCCTTTCGAAGAAGGAGCTTGCGGTGCTACATTTAAATATGACGCTTTGCGGATGTGTATGGTAGTAAATAATGTGGAGGGTTGATGATGTGGGATTAAATTTGTCAATGATATAATTTTGGTAAAAGGAGATTTAAACTTTTCGAACCCATTATTTTTCATTTTAAGAATCAAAATATCCCATGAAAAGATTTCTATTCGTGAAACACATATATATGCACACATATAACTTCAAATTCATTTCATCTTCGATTTTTAAGACACTTACCTCGGTGTTGTGAATCTTCCTGCACCGTCGTATTATTCTTTAGTGTTGATGAAGATGAAAGAGAATCAGTTTCCGAAAAACCCTCATCCAAATTTTTCCGTAATTTTGTTGAGATAATCGAACCATTGCGAAATATGCTAGCGGTAGGAAGTATTGAGGTTCGATTTTTTGATACACTTTCATTTCCACCGGCACCATTCTTTCCTCCCACTTCACGAGAGCCATTACGTCCGAGCGACTTTAGAAACTCGTCACGCTCATTGTCAAATCTAATAATACTGGCACGAATACTCTCAAAAAGTGTAGCATCCGCCAGTCGGACGTTTTCTTCATCACTATTAGTTGTTATCGTATTGTCAGTTGACCTGTCAACATTATGACCTTTATTATGTGGAGTATTGTAAACACTATTATTATTTTGAGATTTTGTAGTTTTTGATGTTTCTATAGAAGAGAAGTGAAAATCTTGTGGTAAGCCAGCCAAAAACACGTAGTCTACTAGTCGCTTTCCGGACATGAGGATAATGGATTTAAGAATCAATAGTAGAAAAAAACTCAACACAGAACGTATAAGATTTACGGCAAAATAACAAACTTCTAATTTTGGACAGGGCTACTTTAATATTGTTGAAAAAAACACTGTTTACCCGATATTGAATCTAATAATACTTGAGATATCAAATGTTTTAAAGGGAAAAAATTTGGTGAGAACGAATATTTTATAAAAGTCGCGGTTATCGTTACGTATCGCTAACGTTAAAACCAGACAATGCATAACACGTGATAATATTAGTGGAAGTTCATATTTTAATGCACGACAAGTTCAGTTATTTTACACTAGGCATGCAATTTTATTTTCCAAAAATATTTTAATTAGACGCGTTTTTGTGTAAAAATGTAAAAATAGAGTAGAAGTCTACGTGGGTATATTAGCTATATTATCTAACGCTAAACATCTACATCTACATGCATATATGCCGAAATTGGTCAATACTTGACAAATATAGGATAATGAGGTAATGTCAAACCTCTATGGGGCTCCTACAGAAAAAACCGATCATCCACGATAAAAGTTATTTTTTTATCAACGTCACGGTTATAGAACGAAACGTTAGCATGATAATCATTCAAGCGGGGTAGGCCCCCGCACCAAGTCACCTTGGGCTCAGATGTTTCTCGATAATTTTCTTCCAACGGTACGCACACGCAAATATAGAATCGACCCAGTCTGTCTCGCGTGATATCAACGGCATTTTTTATTTCGTGAAGTTCTTCAGAGGTCTGATATGCTTAAGAAACGCATATTCACCTTTTTTTCGTATGAAATCCCTTTTTTTCAAGGGTAATTGTTTGCGGTTTATACTTTTTTGATTTTTTCTTGATCATGAATTTCTTATTCGATTTAGGATTTGTATCGTATGCTTTAACAATTCGGACAGCGCACGATCGCGTACACCAGAAGGGGTTTTCTTCACCCAAGCATTCTCAAGTTGATAGTT